ATGGAATGGGAGAAAATATTTACAAACCACATATATGTTAAGGGGTTAATATATAAGGAATTCATACTACTCAACAGCTAAAAATAAACCCCACAAATAATCCAATTTAAAAATGGACAAAGGCCCTAAATGGACATTTTTCCAAAGAGAATATTCAAATGGCCAAGAAGTACATGGAAAGGTGCTCAATATTACTAATCACCAGGAAATGCAAATCAAAACCACAGTAAGATATCAGCTCACACCTGTTAGAATGGCTCTTATCAAAAGATAAGTGATAAGTTGTACACTGTTAGTGGGAATGTAAGTTGATACACATGCTATGAAAAACAGTATGAAGGTTCCTCAGAAAATAGAAAAAAGAACTACTATATGATCCAGCAACTTCACTTCTGGGTATATATCCAAAGGAAATGAAATTAGGATCTTGAAGACGTATCTTCAGTCCCATGTTCCATTGCAGCAGTATTCATAATAGCCAGAATATGGAAACAACCTAAGTGTCCTTTGACAGATGAATGGATAAAATAAAAGTGATACACACACACACACACACACACACACACACACACACACACACAGAGGAATATTATTGAGCCATAAAAAAGGAAATCCTGCCTTTTGCCATATCATGGATAAACCTGGAAGCTATTACACTAAGTGAAATAATTCAAACATAGAAAGACAAATAATGTATGTTCTCCCTTATATGTGGGATAATAAAACTGAACTCATAGAAACAGAGAACAGATTGGTGGTTGCCAGATGCAGGGAGTGTGTGGTGGAGGAAATTGGTGAAAGTTGTCAAAAAGTGAAAAATTCCACTTATAAAATAAATGTTTTGAGGAGGTAATGTACAGCATGGTGACTCAAGTTAACAATACTGTATTGTACATTTGAAAGTTGCTAAGAGAGTAGATCTTAAAAGTTCTCATCAAAAGAAAAATATGTGTAACTATGTGAGGTGATAGATGTTAAGTAACCTTATTGTGGTTATCATTTCACAGTATATACATATATTAACTCATGTGGTACACCTTAAAACTTATATAATGTAATATGTCTATTATATCTCAATAAAACTGGGGGAAAAAAAGAAATACAAAATCTGAACAGACTGATAAAAGTAAGAAGATTGAAACAGTAATCAAAAACCTCCCAACAAAGGAAAGCCCAAGAACAGATGGTTTCATTGGTGAATTCTATGAAACATTTACAGAAGAATTAACAATAATCCTTCTCAAACTCTTCCAAAAAATTGAAGAGAAAGGAACACTCCCAAACTCATTTTAAGAGGCCAGTATGCCCTGACACCAAAGCCAGATAAAGACTATAAGACAATACAGGCCAGTATCCCTGATGAATATAGATGCAAACCTCCTCAACAAAATACTAGCAAACAGAATTCAGCAGCACATTAAAAGAATCGTACACTATCATCAAGTGGGATTCATCTCTGGAACACAAGGATCATTCAATGTATGCAAATCAATAAATGTGATACACCACATTAAGAGAATGAAAGATAAAAATCAGTGATCATCTCAAGAAATGCAGAAAAAGCGTTTGACAAAATTCATCATTCTTTCATGATAAAAACTCTCAATAAATTGGGTATACAAGGAATGTACTTCAATATAATCATAATGTTGTATGACAGGCCCATCACTAATAACGTTATACTCAATGGTGAAAGATTGAAAGCTTTTCCTCTAAGTTCAGGAACAAGACAAGGGTGCCAACCCCCATCACTCCTATTCAACATAGTGCTGGAAGTTCTAGCCAGAGCAATCAGGAAAGAAAAAGAAATAAAAGTCAAAAAGGAAGCAGTACAATTGTTTCTGTTTGCAGATGACATGATTTTATATATAGAAAACCTTAAAGACTCTCCCAAGAAATATTAAAATAATAGAGGAATTCAGTAGTGTTTCAGGATATAAAATCAATATACAAAAATCAGTTGTGTTTCACTAATGATGAACATCCAAAAGAGAAATTAAGGAAACAATCCCGTTTGTAATAGCACAAAGTAGAATTAAATACTTAGGAATAAATTTAACCAAGGAAATTAAAGATCTGTACACTGAAACCTATTAGACGTTTATGAAAGAAATGAAAGTAGATACAAATAAATGGAAATGTATTTTGTGTTTATGAATTGAAGGAATTAACATGGTGAAAATGTCCGTAACACCCAAAGCCATCTCTAGATTCAGTGCAGTCCCTATCTCAAATTCCATAGCATTTTTCATGAAAGTAGATAAAACAATCTTAAAAGTCATATGGAACCACAGAAGACCCCAAATAGCCAAAGGAATCCTGAGAAAGAAGAGCAAAGCTGTATCACACTTCCTGATTTCAAACTTTATTACAAACCTATAGTAATCAAACAGTATGATATGGGCACAAAAAACAACTTACAGACCAATGGAACAAAATTGAGAGCCAAATTATAAACCTGCCTTTACAGTCAACTAGTATTTGTCAGGAGGCCAAGAATATTCAGTGAGGAAAGGATAGTCTCTTCTATAACTGGTATTGGGAAAATTGGATATTCAGATGCAAAAGAATGTATTGGATCCCTGTCTTACATCACTCACAAAAATTAACTTGAAATGGATTGAAGACTTAAGTGTAAGACATAAAACTCCTAGAAGAAAACATAGGGAAGATACTTCTTGAAATTGGTCTTGGCAATGAGTTTTTGAATCTGACACCAAAAGCACAAACAACAGAAACAAAAATAAACAAGTAGGACCACATCAAACTAAAAAGCTTCAGCATAGCAAAAGAAAGAGTCAACAGAATGAAAAGGCAACATATCGAATGGGTGAAAATATTTGCAAACCATGTATCTGATAAAGGGTTAATATTCAAAATATATAAGCAACTCTTACAACTCAGTAGCAAATAAACAAATAGTCCATTTAAAAAATGGACAAAGGATCTGAACAGACATTTTTCCAAATAAGACATACAAATGGATATATAAATGATGTATAAGTACAAGAAAAGGTGTTCAACATCACTAATCATCAGAGAAATGCAAATCAAAACCACAATGAGATACCATTTCATATCTGTTAGAGTAGCTTTCTCCAAAAGACAAGAGATAAGTGCTGGCAAGGATGTGGAGAGAAGAGGGAACCCTTGTGCACTGATGGTGTGAATGTAAATGGATAAGCCACTATGAAAACAGTATGGAGAGTCCTCAAAAAATTAAAAATAGAATTGCCATCTGATCCAGCAATCCCACTGCTGAGTATGCATGAGAAGGAAATGAAATCAGCATCTCAAAGAGATACCTGCACCTCCATGTTCATTGCAGCATTATTCACAGTAGGAGAGACATGGAAACAACCTACATGTCCTTTGGTGGATGAATGGATAAAATAAACATGGTGTATACATATACAGTGGAATGTCATTCAACCATAAAAAGAAGGAAATCTTGCCGTTAATGGAAACATGGATGCACTTTGAGGGCATTATGCTATGTGAAATGTCAGACAGAAAAATACAAATACTATGTGATTTTACTTTTATGTAGAATCTAAAAAAGGCAAACTTACAGAAACAGAAACTATGTTGGTGGTTGCCAGGGGCTGAGGTTGGGGGAAGTAGGGAGATGTTGGTCAAAGGGCACAAACTTCCAGCTATAAGATGAAGAAGTTCTGGGTATATAATGTACAGTGTGGTGATAATAGTTAATTATACTTTATTGTATACTTGAGAGTTGCTAAGAGAGTAGTTCTTAAATGCTCTTACCACAAAAAAAGGTAATTATGTGAGGTGATGGATATTCTAACTAACCTTATTGTGGTAATCATTTTGCAGTATATGCGTGTATCAAATCATCATATTGCACACCTTAAACTTACACAATGTTATATGTCAGCTATATCTCAATAAAGCAGGAAAACAAAAATAAGAACAAAAGCAAAACAAAGTACTGGCTTTTAGAAGAGAACCAGTTCTTTTCCACTGAAGTGCTGACGGCTGATGATGACTTAATATGATACTACTTCCAGGGTAATGGAATCAAGTCATCAAACAAAGGCAAACAAAGAAGCTGTAATGTTGAAATTTCAGGCACTGGCCGAAAGATGAGGAAGGTATTTGGGAGCAAGAGAGAGGTCTTCCTTGAATTCTGAATCATATGCTATATGCCTCAGCCTATTTTGTTCTGAAAATAGATTAGGATTAAACTTTAAGTTTAGGGCCCCTGGGTCCTGGAATCCTCTATTCATGCAAATTTTGCTTTAATAGGTGCAAACCCTCCTATGAAAGTTGAGAAGACATTGAAGCATTCTTTTTGAAAGATCATAAATATATTCCAAGTCTTCCTTGTGTTCCACGGATCATATCTTCCAGTGGTGAATTTGCTTTCTCCCTCAACTACCAATGTCGCTTCCCTATTAAATACGGTTTCATCACTCTCAACCTGGCGTAGAACACTGGATCACTTGTATGTTAGCTTTAAGAAAACCATTTCCCCCCAGAGACCTGCCCTGAATTTGGTAGTTCTTGACCAGGCTCTTTTCACACTTCCATGGGGAGTTGAGGAGGAAGAAAACCAAAGTTGTTTGAAGTTAAATGGAGATTGTTTGGTTATTTGCAGGACCAAGCCCTGCATAATGGAGTATGGTCTCTTGGAAAGAGCTCTGAACTGAGAAGTCAAAGAATGTGGGTTATAGCCCTTGCCTTGTAACCTTGGGTATGACATTTCCCTTCAGGTTTCGGTGTCTTCATATGTAAAATGGCTGATGGCAACACCCCAAGTTTCTCAGTGATACCTGAGTAGATGGGAAAGCGTGTGTTATTGCACCATTCCAAAATCTGTTAAGGAATGGAATTCTTTTGAATGATTTTCAGTTCCAGTTCACACTCTCTAAAATAGGCTTCATTGAATTGTCTGCCCAAAGTGGTCACTGGGTGATTTGAGAAGCCCCTTGCTACTTAACTTATACCCTTTCCCTTTGATCTCCCATCTACTCTAGGTGTCAACTCTGCCCGCTCAGTTCCTCCTTCCTACCCACCACCGCAGGACCCGTTAAACCAGGGCCAGTACCTGGTCCCCGATGGCATCGCTCAGTCGCAAGTCTTTGAGTTCACCGAACCCAAGCGCAGCCAGTCACCATTCTGGCAAAACTTCAGCAGGTTAACCCCCTTCAAAAAATAATACCTATAGGGAGGCAGATAATTTTAAAATAAAGCAAATAAAATTATATTTATAGATGGACCTTTTTTCGGAGAAGCACTGTTGAAATTTATATATACACACACACACACACACACACACACATATACATATATGTGTGTGTGTGTGTATATATATGTGGACATACACACACATACCCTTGAGTGTACACACACACACACACACACACACACACACACACACACACACACGGACCAAAAATGTTTTCTGTTGTTTTGGGGAAGTAAAATCTGTAGTTGGTAGGAGGAGGTACCAATGACTTCCAAAAAGGTGGACCCCTTCTTAAAAGCTTTCCGTTCTTACCTTGTCCCCCTCCCCTTTACTTTCAGAAATTGACATTTCTATTTGTTCCTTTTCTTGTTGAGATAATCTCTTTGCTCCCCTGTGAGTGATTCATTGACTTATTATTACCATAGATGTGTTTGTATTGTTTTTTTCTTTCCTGATGATACTGATCCTGGTGACTTTTGAATTTAATTTGATGTAGTGGAGTTTTGGAGTTTGGGAGTTTGGAATTTCTTTTCTTCCTTTTCCTTTTCACTGGGTAAAGGGAGAATCCCCTTTCTCCTCTACCTTAGCTGAACATCTGTGAGTATTTTTGCAGCCCTGCAGTTGCCCAAACCAGCCTTTTTCCTGCATCTTCTGTCCTCAGTCGTGCCAGTCTGGACATGATCTGTTGTGCCCTGTGACATAACTGCTCGATATTTCTATTGCTTTCACTGTATTTCAGGTGTTGTAGAGGGGTCAAAACCAAACAGAAGCAAGGGAGTGTCAGAGTATAATGATGCTGGAGAGGACCTTCAGGGAAAGTTCTGCATTTGGGCTTTTTTTTCTCCCCTAGCACTGGGAGGTCCCATGTTGCAGCACTGTTGGGTCATGACAGTTTTGTATCTCAGGTTTAGTTTGGGCCAATTATTCTCTTCTTCAGGCCTCTTTGGTTATGGTGTTCCTTCTAGGCCTGTCCCTCCCCTAACCTAAAAGATCTCAACTGGAAGCAAAGAAGCTGAGATTCTGCCTCCTGGGGGGGGGATTCAACTGCCTCTAGCACCAAGTAGGGTTAACGCAGGGCTCCACACCACAATCGGTTCAGGAGCCTGGTCGTCCCAGCTTCAATCTGCAGATTGTTTAGGCAGCATTTATAGGAGTCAGTGGAGGGGTCAAGACAGAGCCCACCTGACCAAGATCATCAGCTGCCTTGAAATTATTGACCTGGGCAGGATTCAAGGCTGATAGTAACCTTTTATGGCAAAGAACAGGGATGGGCATGGAAAGAGACAGCCTTGGCCCAAGATATGTACCTGGAGTTCCTACCACTCAAGTTACATGAGACATCCCCCATTGTTAGCAGTTTGAATGGACAATCTTCTATGGCTTCTTCCTTCCCCCCTCCCTCTCTTCCTTCTTTTTCCTGCTCTCCTGGCACAGGAGAATTGCTGATATCAGCATAGTTAAAGTACTTCTGGCACTCAAATAAGGCCCTGTTTCCAACATTCTCCCATCCCAGGACATTTGAAGCAAGTAAGTGAGAAACCCAGGGGGGACTTTTTCCTGTGGAGAAAGGGTCTGAGGCAAAGATGCTACCGTCAGACTCATTTTTAGCAGGCTTTACACTTAGGCAAAACTAACCTGTCCCACAAAGAGGCAGGCTCCCTATGGGTGTAGGAGTACCTGTTCCTCCTCCCTACGTGGTCCCTGGGGTGGATAGACCTTGAATAGCAAGGAAAATGGAATACAAAGGAGTAAGGATGGGCCCTGCTATGGAGAGCCACTCTAGCAAAGAATCTGGAGATTGAGTCTGTCCTGGACCCCACAGGAGAAGACTTCATCATGGAAAGACCTCAGCTTACTGAGCAGCAGCCATGGCTGCATGGGGCTCTCAGCATAGCTGGCTTGATTGCTGCTCTATACCTCCTTACGTAAATCATGTCCTGCCCAACCTTGGAATTTTTCCTCGGTAGCAATCAAAATACAAGCTGTTTAACCTTCCATTCCACTACACCAAAATCAGACTTGTGAAGTAAGCCAAGGATAACCCTGAACTGAACAGAGGGCTGGAGCTTGGGACTGGCCACCACTGCTCAGCACATGACTCAGCTGCTTAAGCCCCCTTCACAAGGAACCTGGTACCCAGTGCCTACACTAAAATGTCCTCCTTGGCAAACAGAATGTGCTTCAGTGGCTATGTAGGCCTCCCTTGGGTATACATTATTTTCCTACTTTCCATTCCTCCCCACTAGGCTTGGCTTTAACATGTTTCTCCAGGGGATGGGGACACAGCAAGAGGGGATGCTTGGACAAGTCCCTGGACCTACAACATCTCTTGGCCAAGTTCCCTCGTCCTACCTGCTCCTCTAGGCCTTTGCCCAGAGCTCCAGGATCAGGGATATCACCTCTCACCACCCACTTCTCATCCACCCAACCCACTGGCCTCATCAATACCAACAACTTGTAAAAACAACAATAAAGCAGTTTGCCATTAGTTGGAGTGTTCCCCCAGCCTATGGCAGCAAAGAAGACCAGTGGCCAGCAGCACCGAGGGGAACCCCATTGCCTGGGCTCAAGATCCAAGCCTCTTCTGTGTCCCCACAGCAGTAATATCCCCAAGAACTTTGTAAATCTTCTCTGTTTCTGCATGGCCAGAGCTCCCCTTTCCTCAACTCAATGAGGCCTGGATTTGCTCTCCAAAAGGCTTTGCTAGTGTGTTCTATGGACCCTGCTGTGGGATGGTCCTAACACAGAAATCCAACTCCTCTTTCTCTCTCCCTCTCTCCCCTTCTCTCTATATATGTATATCTCTACTGGATTTATAAGGACAGCAACAAGACAGTTGTAACAATTCTAGTGTGAAGCCAAATAGTGATCTTTTAGTGCTTTGGGGATGGGGTGGGCTGGGGTAGATGGAAGGGCAACAGTGATTTTGATTACCCCTGCTGCTCTGCATTTGCCAGTTTATTATTTCGTTTCTTTTATCTGACTGTTTGACCCTGTCAAACAAGTGTCAAAGTTGTGTGTTTAAAAAAATGTTTAACAACAAAAATATGATGTTGTAATGACAGAAAGCCTTATGAAAATATTTATGGAGTTCAATAAAAGAAGTAAAAAGACACGTCCAGGCATAACTCTTGTGCCATTTTGTGTATGTGTGTGTGTATGTGTATGTGTGTCTGTTTTATCAATTGCAAAATAAAGGGGATTTTCCTGGTGGGAAGCAGCTTACCCCAACCTAGTCTTGACCTGCCAGCCCTGTTGTTCCATTGCCAAGTATCCCATGGACTGTCCTTCCATGCCCTTTCTGGAATACTGGACGGCAAGAAGCAAGTTTGATCCTATAACCAGGGGCACTTCAAGTGTCTTTATGAATGAGGCTGTCCTTCCTGTCACCAGGCCCTTTGAGAAGACTTGAACGCCCTTTCCTGACTTTGCTCCTTTTCCTTGCAGCTGCAAGTTCAGTACCTGCCCTTGGCACTCATGGGAGCTTAAAAGCTGCTTTTGGACCCAGCCAGAGGCCATGTCACTTAGGAATCCCACACCTCTAGTTCTTTCCTAATACTTCCAGTCTTATCTCCTCAGAGATAGACACATTCTTTATCCATCTCCCAAAGTGGCTAGAATGACCTTACTGGTTTTTTCATCATGATATAGCCTGCAAATAGATGCTCCTTGCTGCTCACAAGGCCCCCATGTGATGTCTTATGCTGCACATCAGAGATACAATAGTGGATCTGTTCTGCTACTGTTTCATCTGCTTTTCTCCAGAGAAACTAAGCGCTGACTCTAATAAAGTGATTATTTACTAAAAGGGTCTAAATAATTGTTCCAAGCTATAGAGTTGAGAGGAAGAGCAGGTGTTGTGCCTCTGGGTTAGGGTATGAGCTCTTTTTGTTCTAGGTCTTGAGGATGCCTTCCACCAAGATTTGGAGAAAGTGATGATCTAACCCTCCCCTTCAATAACCTTTACCATTTCTCGATTTCTTGGCTCTCTCCTCATTTAACCTCTGTTTTCTACTGTCCCCACCTTTTCCTTTTTCTATGGGGTCTACCATCTCTCTCCACCAAACTTAGAAGGCTCACTTCTCAGCAGTCCCTTCTGCATCTTGCCAATTCTCAGCCTCTTCAACTTCCAGAGGTGAATCTCAATTACCTCCTGCAGAGCAAGAGGGCTGCATCTGGTGTCAGTGCTCCATAATTACATTCTGAAGATCCTTGAGTGGAGAGAGAAAACAAATGGTGGGTGTCTTATACTCTGGGATGTAGCTGGTTCTCTCCTAAGGAACCTAAAATCAAACGTGTCTCATCACCAAAAGAATTGTTTCTAAAAGCCCCATATGGTCCATATGATAAATCCATATTCTTTATTACCATAGAGAATGGCTCTACTACTTATAAACTTATTTGCTAAGAGAATTTACACACTTCCTGCCCTCAGTTTTATTACAAAGCACCTTATATTCACTGATAAGGGCCACTATATTCATTAATGAAAGTGCCACTTGCCTCTCTAATTACTAAGTTTTCAATTTGTCTTCTCTAATTACTAAGTTTCTCCCCTTGACTAGAGGCAGAAGAGGCAGTGGATGTTAATTATCATTTTCAGGAGGCCTTCAAAGATGTTTGCCACAGAGCCTTAGCCCATCCCAAGATCATTGTGTCAAGGATGATGGCTTCTTGCTCTACTTTCCTCAGGATCTTTTGGGGGACTCGGGTGGGGAGAGATGTCTTTGTGGTGTGCCCCAATGGCCAGAACTAGAATGGGGAGAGAAAAATCATCCCGGTTTCCAGGATGGCCAAAATGGCCTCTTGGTAGAACAAGTCATCTCTGACCTATCTCTATCCTGGGAAGGCTTCCACCAGGCCTAATGGAAGAGACTTATGGCTTGTCTAAATACAATAATTTCTCTTGTTTTCAATTGCCTTATCATATATAGGGTGTCATTTAATCCTTATGACAACCATTTGGCAATGGGATTATTAACCCCATTTCACACAGGAGAAGCCAGCGGCTCATTTAAAGTGATTAGCCAAGGTTATCCAGCTTGTGAGTATTCTTCACCTATCCCCCAACCCCATTCGAACTGATCGCAGAGCCGCTCACTCTCAGAATGTGGGGTGGTGTGGGTTGGGGGGGTTGGAAGCAAGAATGTGGAATAAGCTGATACTAACATGTGAATGAGTATCACTCCCTGTACTCTCCTTGAGAGCCCTATCTCTTAAATTCTCTAATCTAGGCATCCAACAGGTGACTACAGCTATAGGTCCTTTTGTCTCTAGTACCAAAAGCAAGTGGGAGGAGGACCAAGGTCTCTGCTGTGGACTTTGGCTTACTTCAGTGTTTCAGTCACTGAGCCCAGCACTGTGCTGCTTGGCCCACTTAGCTTTTGGACCCTTTGGAATATCCTTATTCATGTCGACCTGCTCACCCCTGGGTCCCAGAAACTTCTGTCCTGACCAGGATATGGGCCCAATGAGGTAGATCTTGCTTGCCCAGGCCTTTACCTGCCAGGCCCAAGATAACAAAATGAGACTTCCCAGCATTCCCCCAAGTCCCACCACCTGCAGGACAACAGGTCAGCCTGGCCATAGGTAGATTAGACCAGCTAGGTTTGCAACACAGTTGAAGAGGGATGTTTGGAGGTAAGATACATGTCCCCTGGAAGCACACTCTTTTGGTTCCATCTCTCCCATTTCTGTCTTGGGCTATGACATCCTTCTGTAGTAGGCTATGAGTATCACATAGACACTGTTTTCTCATATAGTTGGGGAAGAGTAAAAGAGGGATGGTACATGGGCATACAGTGTTCTTCAGAAGCCTCTATTTTACTTAGTTCACCAATAAGTCATTTAACGCAGCTTCCTAGGTGAGGCTATGGCCATCTCCACAGTAGCCATGCCTCTCCACAGTCCTGCTGCCAACTAGCTGAATTAGATTTAGCCCAGATATCCTGAGTATGTAATCTGGGCCAGGCCTTGTGGTAGGTACACTAGGAATACCAAGATGACAAAAATAAAATCTCTATCCATAGTCACTCAGATTTTAGTGAGAACATATAAGCATGGGCCATAACAGGAATGGATAGGGGCCTAGAGGCACTCAGAGAATGGCGTAATTAAATCTGATTGAGGGAGATCTCTGTAATCAGGATAAGTTTGCTTATGCTGCAGCAACAGATATTCCCAAAATCTGAATGGTTTAACATACAAGAGTTTATTTCTTGCTCATGCAAATTCTGCTGTGGGGTCAGGTGACTCTCCAGGACAGTTATCCTCCATGTGATAATGCACAATCTGGGCTGTTTCTGCATTACTACATCTCTGTCTCAACATATACTTCTATAATCATCACAACTGGAGAGAGAGCCCTGAAGTGTTTCTTTCTTACAGTTAAATTCTCTAACCCTGCTTTGAGGCACATAGTTTCACCAACTTCAAGGGAATAGAAAACTGTAAAAGTTCTATAAGCTCAGAAGGGCGGGAGAAGTAGATATGAGTGAACATTAGAAATCTCTACCAAAAAAGGAAAGGTTTGAACTTAGAAGGCAGAGAAAATTCTACCATGTTGTGCAGGTTAGAGTAACTGAGAAGTTAGAAGGAGTAGTCCACACAAGACCACCCTCTCTTCTGAAACCAATTTCAAGTCCAGGGCTCCCCAAGGCCACCCTTAGGTTTGATAATTCACTGGAAAGACTCGCAGAATTTACTGTTATACTCACAATTACAGTTTATGAAACCTAAAGGATATAGGCTAAAATCAGCCAAGGAAAGAAGCACAGGGCAGAGTCCAAGAAAGTACCAAATGGGGAGCTTCAGTTGTCCTCTCCCTGTGGAGTCAGGACAGTGTTACTTTTTCTGCATCAATATGCGACAATATGCGTGGAGTATTGCCAATCAGGGAAGCTCACCCAAGCTTCTAGAGATTTTATTGGGGCTCCATCTCTGCCCCTGTGACTAATCTCAGTCTCCAGTCACCTCAGGAGGTGAGCTGATGCTAGGTAACCAAGAGCCCTCACCCTAAATCACATTGTTAGACTATCAGGTGACCCAAGACTCCCAGACAAACAAAAACACTCCTATCATATGTGATATTCCACGGGTTTAGAGATTGCCTCCCAGAAGCTGTGGGAAAAGGCCATACCTCTCTTTGGGCAAGGATAAATTCTTTCTACACACATGTGGAAAAGGCATGAGGCAGAGGGTGGGAAGATGAATAAAGAGTATTCCAAATGGAGAGAATAACGTGACTAAAATCCTGGTAGATTAGGTCAAATTGAGTAAAAGGCTCTGTATACCACTTCATAGTCATTTATTTATTAATCCAACAAATACTTTCATACCTAACACTTCCAGGCTCTAGGATATAGAGGTGAACAAATTAGATACCCCTTCTACCTACATGGTGCTTATGGAGTGGTAAATCACCTTCAAGTACAAATTCCTCTGCAAGTGTGTGTTCTTGGGATAAGAGATGGGAGCTTCCAAGCTCTGGTAGCAAACCAACCACAAGTAGAGCTTCTGCCAGACCCCTCATAAATGTCTCCTGGTCAATGGATTCCATGCCCTCTGTCTCCTGTTCAGCCTTAGCTAAGCCAGCCCACACTCATTTCCAGCCCCATACTTGTAGATGTATATACTTTCCCCATTTCATAGATTAAACCACAGGACCAACTCAAAATCCTTTTGATTATTAATAAATACTAGCTAGCATCTATGGAGCACTTGCTAATGTGCCAAGCTCTGTGATAGGTTCTCACCATAACCCTAAGGGATAGGTATGTGTATTTTCCCCGTTTTACTGATGAGAAAGGAGAGGATCAGGGTCACAGAGTTAATGCATGAGCTGGGCTTAAAACTCAGATCTGCCCCATCTGAGGTTCTTACGGGACTGCCATCCATTCCTGTAGCAATATGGCACTAGATCAGACACCCAGGAACCGTTGAATATATTAGAGCTAATGATAATATTGAGGAGGATGAAAGCTAACATGTTGTAGCAGAGACTGTTTTTGTTTCATCCATCTCCTCTTACCATTTCTGTGCACAACAACCTGACTTTCAATATCCAGCACCTGCAACTTTGTTGGAAGGTTGCCTTCGGGCTGCCAGAACCCACTT